CCCCTCCCGCGCGCGCGCGCGCGCACACACACACACACACACACAACAAATTCAGAACACAGGGTAGTGCCAGGAGCAGGGATGGCCATACCCCTCGACGAAAGAGACATTCCTAGGTGGCGCCACAGGGTGGGCTAGGGCCAACGTTCCATAACCTAACTCATCTCGGGTCCATGATCGAAAATAATGTTTTAGTGCTTTGAAGGTTACAGTTCACCAAGATTCAATTGCTCACTTTCTCTCGGGCGCAGTCACCGACGAACCTTCATTCATGCAACGTTTTTCTATCACTTGCACCTTGCACATACGAAACACCAGCTGAGATGAGAATGCCGCCATACCACACGCACTGCTGCCAAGCCGAGATTTCTAAATTTAAGTGTTACACGTTTTTTCAAACTGCCTTATCAATTATTTTCATTAATAATTCTAGAAAACTAGATATCGAGGATGTTGAAATTAGAACAGTATCGAGCAGTAGCGCACTTCCAACAGCAAGATCAATCTTCAAAACTCGCTCCGGTAATGCTGCACAACTGGCAATATTTTCATTGCAGTAGCAGACGTTGTTGTGATTTAGCAATCACCTTATCAGAAATCCTGAATTTCATCTGTCACTGATTACTGGTCCTTCCTCACCTCTCAGTGATGTAATACGTCATATTCTTTCGTTTCTGTCGTCAATGTCTGTTCGTCTTACGGTGTTTGCAAAGCCCCTATGCCCGTAACTAGTCAGTAGAGGCGATGTGGCGCTGTCACTTAACCTAAACAAAAGTCAACAGTCCAGTAGAGTGAGTCAACTTCTAGTAATGTCATGGACTGAATGAACGCAGTGCAGTTATGCCACTAACATATCGAGAGGCTGTGCAGATCGGCCTGCTTTTAGCATGCGTGCCACTGCAGTACATGCTGACCATGAACATGGAGTTAGATCAATCATCTTCTATTGGTAGAATTTTTTCTACTGATTTTCAAAATTTTAGAGATAATTGGTTGTCCACAGAATCATGGGCAAAATCTGCAATGATTCATGTTCTAATGAATGGTAAGAGTTAAAAATTTCAAATTCAAAGCGAACATGTACCTGCACTTTTGACACATATGGTTAACAATTATATTGATTTGTTGTAGGAATTTTTCCCAATCCTGTTCCTATAATGTATTATGGAACAATAGGTGAAAATGAGTCTCCTGCACATGAAGTATTACGTTTCAGACAAGAGCGTGGCTACTTTACGGCTTCTCAAGGTATTAGATGGAAGCGCCCATCTCATCTTCACTTTCGCATAGGTCAGGTTGTAAAACACAGAAGTGAAGGATACACGGGTGTTGTTATTGGATGGGATTTGAAGGCCAGCGTAAGTAGTTTGATTCTTTAGTTTAAACTTATGAGTCAAGTCCCATGAAGCTAGAAGATAATTTGTATTTTTTGTTTTGAATTTTGTATGACTCATTTGAAACTATTTCCTCTTGTGTCCTAGGCTTCAGAGACTTGGTTGTTTCGTGAATATGGAGATCTTCAGGTTTGTTCATTAACTAGTTTAACTCCTGATTTATAGCTGTCAGACTAGAATTTGGGAAAATGAACAAACTCCTTCCTCTCAGGCTCTACGCAGTTGGCCTCATTATTCCATTTTAGTTGATGAAAGAGATCCAATATCAACAGCAACGATGGCTCCAGAGGCAACTTATGTAGTCCAGCAGGAACTAGAACTAATGCCAAATACAGAGGTTGGTTTGCTCATTATGAATTTATACATAATCTATCAAATTTCGTAATTCATTCTTGTCATTCCTCTTGTTAACATTTTCAGGTGCAACATTCAATGCTTGGAAATTTTTTTGTTGCCTATGATGGAGGTCAATATATAGCACAGGATTGGTTAAAAAATTTGTATCCCAAAGATTAAATAGTTCAGGCTGTATTAAAGCAAACTTGTGATAACTGTAACAAGAAGTTTTGTACTTTTAAAGAATAATTAAGACTGTTGTCATTAAGTTTAAATGTTTGCAGTCATCATGCAAATGTGGTTGTGTAATTTATCTAGGGTGTACTCATCATTTTCATTTAGTGCAAAAACAATTTGAAGAAGTTTACTGGGTGAAAAAAGGCACAACTTAGTGCCTTGTTGTAATAGTATTTAAGCTTTGTGCCATTATAAAGGTATTGGTGCCTTCATAATGACATAGAAATCGATAGTGGTACTTTAAAGGTGCTAAGTTGTACCTTGTGTTTCCTTTAATTTCTGCAGATTTTTCTTCCTGTTGATATTTTTACCATTGTACATTTTGTTTTTGGATTTTCTTAAAACCTTCATTGCTGTCTTTACTAGCATTTGATTTCTGACTGTCTTACTTTAGTGTTTCTTTTTGTTGTTTTTTTCTAATTTTGGGATGACTAGAACTAGGAACTTCGAGGAATTTTGCATACAGTTGTGATAAATGCACTTATCATATCTTTTCAATGCATGTACTTACTTTAAAGATATCCTGCCCAGAACATCAGAGGAGAGGAAGTTAGTAAGAGACCAGAGCAGAAAATGAAGAGATCAGGTTGGAAACCTTATTATTAAGGACATCTAGACAAAATGTTAAAGCATTTTGCAAGGTATTACAGTTTGTACAATTCCAAACACACAGCACAATAAGTACATCACAATATTCCAATATTTACACCACTCAAAAAACTGAGACACTTTGCAACACAAAGGACTAGAATAACCTCCGAAATATGGCACAGCACACAATTGAAAAATAGATTACCTCATAATTCCATTAAGAAGAAGAAATGAAAGAAAAACAGATTTCCACATTCTAAATATCACAAAATGTAGTATTGATTCACCACTAAATTTGTATGGTACCAATGCAATCCTACAGAGATTCTCAGAGTGATTTAATTCTATGTTGAAGTTTCATTCACCAAAGCTGTCTATTTGAGAAGAACTAAAACTTAATGCTGGTACAGTACATTTTACTTTCTACCTGAATGTAACAACCATTTTATAAGTGAACAGATAGAAACAGAAGACCAATCAAATATTCAGATTGCTTATACATAAATCTCATAAAGAGCATCATTGCAAGGGCCAAATTTCAACACAATTGGCACAAATAGCAGAATTAAATTTGATGTCATCTTTGCCTATATGCATACACAAAATTCAAAGAAAGTACAAACTGAAATATGAAATGATATGTCCTGCCTCCAGTGTTTTGGTCAAAATGCATTGGGCACAAACTTAACATAAGGTAATAATATCCATGCTGCAAATTATCCCTGTAAGACTTTTATCACTCACATAAAGGTAAACATTACTCCTAAAATAGTTGGAAAAGAAGATCACATCCAGATATGACAAGACATTTGTGCTTGGAGGAAATACTCCATTCTACAGTTACAGAATAAATAGTCAATCTGGAAAGTACTTTATTAATGGATCTAACAAAACACAGGCCACAAAGACTGGCACATATGGGAAAAAAAAGGAAATACCAGAGATCTCATGCAATAAGGAAAATGAAGATGTAAAATTATCAAGAATTAATGAACAAATTGTTATGGGGAACACCATGCAAATGCGGGTACTAATAACAGGGTATTTCTAGAAATAATCAGTATAAGATTAATGTGGCTCCATGGAAAGTTATGAAAGCAAGCCCTTGCAGTATTTCCCTTCTATGAAGTACACCAAATTATAAAAAGTAAGTACTGCCATTTATATTGCGAATTATTTTGAGGGGAGTAAATATCACCATAAATTTTAGTTATCTAAAGAGGGAACTTGAGTGCAGGTGAGCTCTCGCCCTTTCCCATCTGCATGGACACATTTCAAATTTAATCTGTTTGGTAACGAAGAGGAATCTCCTGGACTATGTGCACCAGTCCTCGAAACTACATTTGCAGTAACTGTAGCTGTTGGCTTCACAACTGGAGGGTGAGGTGGTGCCCTTCTTCTCGCACTATCCAGAGGCATTGACCCAGACTGTGGAGTAGACCTGACATGTCGTAGGTTTTGAGGCTGCGTGATGCAGTTTCCCAAAAGCATGGCCAATATGATAGCCAGCAAAATGGGAACAGCGACGTACAGAGCTCTTTTGAGCACTGACGCCGGTTCCTGATGCTAGGAGTTTTCTCTGTCTTTTACTATACGCTCTGCCTTGTAGACACGATGACTAATAAGCAAATCTCGCAGGAGTTTGTAAAGGGTATAGTAGTTAAAGAAAAGCACAGATGCCATGCTCACAGCTTGGTACCACTCAGAAGCAGTTGCCAGTTGGATCAATTGAATAATTATCATTAACATGTGCATAGTGAGCACAACTAAGTATATTCGAGTTGGATTTTGAAATAAGTCCTAAAATAAATGAAAATAAATATTATTTGGCTGTACAAACTGTAAAAGTTGTATAAGGAATACTGTATAAACTAAGAATATTTGGAAGAAATGAAATCAAAACTTACATAAAATCGGTTATGCACCTGGTTACCAGGCTCTGCAGCATTTGTTGTATTAAGAGCCTGATAAAGCTTATCATAATGCTTTACAACTGATTCATATGGCCACAATTTATTTCCTGTCCAACTGAAAAAAAAAACATACAATGAAAGCTATAGCATAAACACTGACAGCCACAAGGGTTTCCATACATTCAAAAGATAAAGAACAAAAAGAAAATTGTAATTGTAAATTGACTTACTGAACATTAGAATGTGGCATAATCAATCGATGCCATCTTCCTAGGTGTAGAGCACATCTGTGCATGACATCACAATACCTGCAAAAAGGACACAGATTTTTAAATTTACATATGAAGGTACTGAGCCAGTTTTAGCAGTAAAAGAAATTACGTACCTGACAGGAAAACAATGTGTAAGATACAAAACAAAACTACCAAGCCACAGCCACAGAATGTGAAAAGTTGCCCAATAGGTTTCATAATACATCAGTGTCTTCATCATGGAACAGATTTTTTAAACTCATCAAATATTTCAACAACTACTATTTTAGATGCAATAGTGAAATATATACATACAGTAGCAAAACAGCAGGGAATAAACCCAGCATAGTATGCTGAGAATACAGAGTTAAACAAAACCTGCTTCATACGATTATTGATGTCACTTTTTAGAACATCAACCTCTTCACGAATAGCTTCAGGAGAGGTGGAACAGTTGTGCAATGGACTTCCATCAAAACCTAACAAGGATGAATAATGAGTTAATTTTCAATAAACATATGTATTATTAAGGTTAATGTTTAAGAAGACAAATGTGAAACATAGAAACCCACTTAAAAATGACTTGCATTGTTGATCTGAATCAGAAACTGGAAATATTGTCAGATCAAAGAAAGGCCCAACCGTAAGGCCGAATAATATAAAATAAAGGGATAGCCTGCAAATGAAAAGTACTTAGCGAAAATTTCAAAGTCTGAATAGAAAACAGGTTTAGAAGCTTTAAAAAAAAGAAAAACTTACGGATAGCACAAATAAAATAACTTCACAATGGGATGTGTGTGCATTATATTGTATAGGCAAAAGAGGATCACTGATCCCACCCAGCCTAACATGATAAATTGAATGATTTTGCGGGCAGCTGGCCATAGCACAGATGATATGTATGCTTGACCAACACGAGCAATCATGGTGTAAAGAAGACGCCGCATCAAGATAACACCAATAAATATGAGTAGGTGGAAGTCAATCAGTTGAACATTCTGGAACACAACAAAGCATTTGGAAAACATGTCCGTACGGTACGGTAGTATACAAGAGTTTGACTATCTAAACCAAATTACCAAAGCAAAATTGTTGAATGAATATGGCAACCAGAATACTGATCGATAAATAATCAGGAATTGAAGAGCACAACAAACTGCTGAGAACATAAACATTATGAACTCAAATAAAACATCGCCATCTCGTGGAATATGAGGTATTGGAATATGTTTTGGTAATGTTGAATGCTGAGCAGCTTGTGGGTGACTACAATTGTAGAAAAGGTACAATAAGCATATTGATAATAATATTTAAGTACTCAAAAAAATGGAAACGGGTGAGCTCAAACTTACTGCTGAGAGTTGTCATTTCCGTTACAATTGTTGCGCCCATGTCGTGCATTATGGTTTACATGAGCAATAGCATGGGCTCCTTGGTGCACTTGAGGTGGATGCGGATGATGCGCATGTAGGGGATGTTGCATATTTCTTCACAAAGTTGCTGACTCATAAAACAGCAACAACTTTCCAAAGCAGTAATGCATTGATGATTTTTCCCAGAGACTGTGGACAAATATAAGTTCAATTTAACATGTTGACAAATCTTTTTATACCAGAGAAGACATACCCAATTTAAAGGATCTGTTCTATAACATTATCCACCCTTTCTATAATAAACAACATGTCAGTGATAATGAATGTTAGTTTTAGCCCTGTCTGAGAGATTTCCTCTTGAAACATGGATCAATAATGGTACAAAAAAATCACAAAGAACAAAATTATAACTATCAGAAATGTTTCATACTGACTAAAATGTTACCACAGCATTAACTGACTTCATAGTTTTTATAAGTGATCACATTCATTAAATTTAGAGAATAATGAATGTTCTAAAAAAACAGAATTGTTTACAATAAGCTCTTATTCCACTTTTAACAACAGCTGTGGTCCAAGTTAATACATCACATAACCTTACTTAACCTTTCCCCACCACAGATACGAAATTTGTGGAGGACGCCTTCAGAAGCAAAACCCAAAAAGACGACACAAGGAAAATAAAAGCCAAATTTTCGATTGTGTTTACTTACAAGCAGAAGACAAGATATCCAAACTTGGATGTGCCGCTAGGTAAACCTCAGTTTAACCAAGGTTGTATAGGCAGGAATGCTAATATGACTAACTAGGAACACGGTTCGCTTTCAACACTGTATCTATCTTTCAATTAACAGTCGTCTTTCATTGATGGCTCAGCCAGTATAAGGCGAAATTCTTAAATTGTTGACTGCAAAGTTGGGTTGTTTGGCTGTTTTTGAGGGCCCTTTGACATCACAGAACAGCGACAAAAGAAGATCGCCTCGCACCTCGAGCGCCACATTCACATTCGTCTGCATCTCGCGACCCCGACCCGAAAGGTGACGGCTGTGACGACTGCAGGCCGACGGTGCCGACGGCCGTCCCTAGCACCGTCCCCTGCAAGATGGTCCCCTGGTTTATTCGCAGCCCGAACGGATACGTGGAAGTCTCCTGCTTGAAGTTCTAGTTCCAGCTCCATAGCCCCAGGACGTACGATCCTGCGATCCCAAGGAGGCAGAGCTGCATTTAAACGGCATATTGTGTCTTGTGCCCCATCTAAAATTGCGCGTGGGCGCATCACCCAGAGAGTACGCCCGTCGTTCGACGCAACGAAACTACCAAGTTCAGCCTGTGCAAGCCCTCATAGCGCCTGGTAGGTAGGCAGCATCTTGCACTCAGTGCATACGTGCACTGCAGGGTGGCCTACCCTGCGTCTCGCAGGCGCTGGGCTCCCGCAATTTGTCGAATGAATCTGAGTGAAACGGACGTACTTTCTGGACGATCCCATCCTAAGATCGGCGTAGGCACATAACATGCGCGTTTTAGATGGGGCACATAATGCAGTTTCCTTTTCAGCTCGCTCGTGAAGCTGGTTGGACGGGAGCAAAGCCATCCCCAGGCACTCCTCAAAGAATGCCGCGGAGAGAGCGAGGGAAGTTGTCGCTGTGCATTCCCTCGGCTAGGGAGTATCGTCGGCCACCCCGGGGCGGGGAGTACCGCCGCCAGGCCAGGCGGGCCGGGCCAGGAGGGCAGGCGCGCGAATTCCGAATAATTTCAAGACAGAGCAGCAGCAGCAGCAGCAGCAGCAGCAGCAGCAGCAGCGGCAGCAGCCCCGACAGCACAACAGCCGAGGGCACTTCCACTTCCTGCAACACGGCCCAACACAATCAGCGCGTCACGTGTGCCGTGCTCGTGCCGTGATGACGCCGTGCCCGGGTAGCCCCGGGGCGTCGTGGGTGCTCCCTTCACTCGTGTCGCGCCCCGCCCCACCCC